ATACAGAAAAGGAAAATGACAAATGCTGAATGGGATGTGGAAAAATTGGGACACCAGTGCACTGTTGGTGGTTGTGAACTAGTTCATTTATTCAGAAGGACAATTTGGAATTATACCTAAAGGGCTATAAAACAATGCATTTTGAACCAGCAATCCTACTACTTGTTTGATATCCTAAAAAGGAAAAATACCTATATGTGCAAAAATATTTAGAGTAGTTGTTATTGTGTTAGCAAAGAATTGGAAATTGAGGGGATGCCCATCAATTGGGGAATGGTTGAACAAATTATGGTATATAAACTTGGGAAGACATATAAATTGATACAAAGTGAAGTGAGCAGAACCAGGAGAACATTGTATACAGTAATAGCAATATTGTAACAATGATCAACTGTGAAAGACTTGGCTACTCTAATCAAGACAACGACCCAGGACAATTCCAAAGGAATCATGATGAAAAATACTGTCCACCTCCAGAGAGAAAACTGATGAACTGTGCAGATTGCTGCACATTTTTAAAAAAACTTTCTCCATTTTCCTTGTTTTGTGTGTGTGTTTTCTTTTGCTGGCTTGTATGAAAATGTTTTGCATGACTTCACACGTATAATTAATATTATATTGTTTGCCTTCTCAGTGGGTGGTGGAAGAATGAAAGGGAAGGAAAGAATTTGGAGCTCAAATTTTTAAAAAATGTGAAAAATCTTTTTCACGTAATTGGTAAATATTTTCTGAAATGTATTTTAATAAACTTTTTTTAAAAAAAAGAAAGAAAAATACTAAGTCTTATTCAGCTGCGATCTGTTCCAGTATGACTGTTATACAGAGTTTAATGTTACTGCTTAGGAGGCTACAATAAACTATAAATCAGAAAAACTAAACTGGAATTTGTAAGCACTTTTCAAATGAGAAAATGTGCCCCCATCTATAGAGAGCAGTGAGAGATCCTTGTTCCTACTTATTAGGAATAGAGAGAAGGTTGGACTTGGAGTCAGTTCAAATGTTGTCTCAAATGTTCACTTGCCTGTGTAATTCTGAGCAAGTCACTTAACCTCTCTAAGACTCAGTTTCTTCATCTACCTACATAACTGAGTCGTTATGAGGATCAAGGAAGTTAGCATATGCAAAATGGTCTGTAACCTTGACATACTATATAAATGCTAACTTTTATTTATTATTATTAATATTATTACATAGTGTGGGATATTTATATTGCAAGAATGCCAAAGTTTCCAGATATCTATAAAAAATATGCACAGTATTACACAATAGATAAAACACTGGTCTTGGGAGTCAAGAAGACCTGGGATCCAGTCTTGTGACCATGGGCAAGTCACTTAACTTCTCTCAGCTTCAATTTTCCACTCTGCTTTACAATAAGATGCAAAAGGAAAAAAAAAGAAGTGAGATGTTTTCTATTAATTCTTATTACAACATAACCATTATTTTATCATATTATAACATTTATATTACATATCAGGAATATATTAAGTGTAATATTTACAACAATTATTATAACATAATAAATAGTTTTATTCTATTGGTCAGTGAAACACTACAGTTTCTGAGTATCATATTATAATACCTCAACTTTTGTACCCAGAACCAGCCTAGGGCAAAGTTTGTCTTAAACTACCTTCCATTTCACTTTCTTTGCTCCCTACTTTTTCAATTCCATATCTACCTAACTTATCATCTGGTTAATTGGAGTCCCTTGTCCTCAAAGAGGACCAAAATGACATCACTATGTTAGGTCAAGGTACAGGGTGTCTGATTGTGGCTGATCAGACCAATATCAGACCAATATGAGCTTTGAAGGCTCTACTACTGGTCAGGCACAAATAGTAGGTCCTTAAAAAATGCTTGTTCCCTTAATACAGGTTTCAGTTATAGGACTATTGTGAAGATCTAATGAGATCATGTCTCTAAAATGCTTTGCAAACCTTAAAGGACTGGATAAAAGTAAAACTATTATTATGGTATGCTGATGGAATAGGCTTTTCCTAGACATCACAGAACTTTTGGTATGCAGATTAAACCACCCAGCTAAAGTGAAGAAGGAAGAGAGGTTAATAATTTTCTTTTTTAATTGATTATCAGAGGAGGAAAGAGAAAGGAGGGAGGCAGCTAGGCTCTAGAATGGATGTCACATTACCATTAATTTCGTTAAGATGAACATCTTGCTAGACTAAATGACTGTGGTCCCTACTGCCATCTGGTGGCGATATGCACAAAGTTCAAGAACAATTCTTACGCACAAGCATCCTAAAATCAACACGTATTTGCTAAGTATTTAATATGTGCTAGGCACTGTGCCAGACAATTGGGATATAAAAACAAAGAATGAAACATTTTCTGCTTTCAATGAGTTTGCATGTGTGTGTATTTACATTTACATATACACATATGTCCACATGTAAATATACTTACATATACGCATACCTATGTACTTACAAATATACAGACATGGCCATGGATAAACACAGGCATAGACATAGACACAGACACAGTCATAGTCATAGACATAGACATAGTCATAGACATAGACACAGACACAGTCATAGTCAGACATAGACATAGACATAGACATAGACACAGTCATAGTCAGACATAGACATAGACATAGTCATAGATATAGACATAGACACAGACATAGTCACAGTCACAGTCACAGACACAGACACAGTCATAGACATAGACATAGACATAGACATAGACATAGACATAGACATAGACATAGACAGACACAAATATTTTCTTAAGGTGGTAGTGGTAGCGGGGGGGAGGGGGATGCTGATTATCCAGATTTTAAAAGCTGAAATCGCAAAACAAAAGTCATCAAGTGACAACCCATCTCCATATTCCAATGTTGCCAAGAGCAGAATCAAGGAATGATGAAAAAAAGTCCTTTAGTAAAGAATCTAAAACAATAGTATCTAGCATTTACATGATACTTTAAGTTTTGCAAAGCACTTTACAAATATCATCTCATTTAATCCTTATAAAAACTCTAGGGGACAGGTGCTATTTGTTCTCATTTTACAAATAAGGAAACAGAGGCAAATAGAGGTTAAGTGACTTTCCCAGGGTCACACAGCTAATACATCTCTGAGGCTGAACTTGAACTCAGGTCTATTGACTCCTGCTCCTCCCCAATGTATTGTTGTTTTTGTTTTTAAGGGTCAAATAAATTCTGATAACTCTTCCTTAGATCATGTTCATGCTCTATTTAACCCCTATTACATATTTATCCTCTTTTTCCAAATATTATAAAATTAGGTCATGTTTGCAAAGTGCTTAGCATAATTCCGGGTTCTGGTAGGTACTTAACAAATGCTTGTTCACGCCATATCTTCCCCTTTTTCACAGTCAAAATTCAAGGAAAAAACTTGTCTGTATCTGTTACCTTCACTTTTTTACAACCATTAATTTCTCAACCTCTTGTAATCTAGCTTTCAATTTTATGATACAACTGAAACTTCTCTGTGAGATTGTCAATTCTCTTTTTAAAAAGTGTAATTAATTTCAATGAACAAAATTTTCTTCAATGAACAAGAAATCTATATTTTATTTTTCCAAACTCCTCCCACATTCAAAAGGAATACAAAATCTTTGAAATAAATATGTGGTCAAGCAAAACAAATTCCTTTATTGCACATGTCCAAAAAATAAGCTTTTTAAAAAAAAATTTTGTTTTGTTATGTTTAAGTAGTCTAATGATTTTTAAATTACCTTTGCTCAACTTGTTTTCCGGATCAGTTGTTTTTGATGTGAAATACTTTATGTTTCTATTTTTTTGATCTTTTGACTCTGTTTTAATATTTTTTCTTGTCCCATGAAGTCATTAACTTCTGTTTGGTCCATTCTAATTTTCACGGCATCTTTGGTGCTAAGCTGTTGATTCTCTTTCCTTTTGTCCTTTCTTTTATGATTCTTTCCTCTAGCACTTCATTAATAATATCGTTTAAAAACTATTTTAAAAACTCTCACTTTATTTCTTCTAGGGATTTTAATTATTTTGTATTCATAGTCTATTTTTATTTGGTGCTTTGCTTGTAGGTATTCTGGAGTTATTATCCACTTCTTGGTCTGTATCTTAGGCATCCCTGGTGATGCCGTCTGAGAGATTGAGAGACCCCTCAAGTACTGGAGTATAGGACATGGTCATCTGGAATGAATTCACAGACTCAAGCATTCTTTGAATCAAGGTGGCAAAGATTTATTGTTACACTATACAGTGGGCAGAGGTTCTTAAGGAATTCTGCCATGGTGGGAAGAGCTCCTTAGGGAATGTGCAACCTATCAGGAATGATACTAAAGCTTATATAGGAAAAGTAGTGAATTATGTGCCAAGTATGCTAATTAGGTGATAACATACAACTATGTCATTCACTACTGGAAACTAAGGGAAGGGAGGGAAGAAAGGGTTCTAAAGGGTATATTTTTGGTCTGTTATATCTGTAACAAGATAGTTTCAGGCGTTGGTGTCTATAGCTTGACCTCTGGACTGTGTACGGTAACTGTAGGCATCAGTACTTGATAATTCTGCTGGTACAAGATAGTACAAGGGAAATTCTGCAGAGGTCAGCTTGTTCTTACCACAGGGAGAGATAGTTTGCTTCACTGGGCCCACTCATGAGTCACTGCCAGGGATAAGGTCCTTGGGTCATAGGGAAACTGTCAGGAATTGTGCCTTGAGGCTAGGGAGAAATATAATCTTGGAAGTGAGGTCCGAATACAAGCACTCAAGCATGCCACCACTGGCATCATAATATATCTTTATCTCAGTTGTTTTTGTTTATTCATTCTTCCAATCTTATTTCTGGATTGGGAAGTTGTGTTAGACCTAAATTCTGCACACTTTTAGTGGGACCATAGTGGTCTTTATTTGTCTTGGACCTTCTTAACTGCTGACCTGTTGCTGAGGTTAGAAAGTTCTACAGCCCTATTCTGTTAGCAGGATCTGACTCCAAGATCCTGACCCAATCTTATGCCCCAGTTCCTGCCTTTATCACTTGCCTGTTAGTTGAATTTGGGATCTTGAGCTGGAAAGATGATTCATTATGAGTCCTCCTTAGATTTACTAACTGCTGTTCAGTCTGGCATTCTTCTTAGGTCTTTGTTGGAGCAACTGGTAGTTTCAACTTACTGCTTTCTCCTCAACCATCTTGGCTGATCTGCCAATTTATCAAACCGTATAAGAGCAGCAGTTCTTGCTAGATTCTAAAGTATCAAAACTCAGTTATAATGTCACACACATATATATATAATGTCTATATAATATATATAATGTTATATATATATAATGTTACATAGAAAACCTGCTCACAAAACCACTGATAAGCAAAAGAGCCCCATGACAACTGTGTATTCTGTAGATCCTAGTACAATCTGACAGTTTAACACATATATTACAAGGTTTGAGAGCTTGCAGGTATTTGTGTAATAACCATTGGAGGTTTGTGGTCTGAATACCATGCTCTAAAGCAAAGAACAATGTTTTATAAATTAAAGGTACAGACTCACCTGTCACCTTCCTAGGTTAAAAGATTCAGTGTTTACTTCATCAGTACTGAGAGAAATGATTATTAATAACCAATGATTTGGGGAGATCCAGATTTCCCCCTCTTTCTGTAGTCCTCATTTCAAAGTTCAATCTCTGGAGTACATTACTGATAATGAGATTGGATTAACTTTCTTAACAATCTTGTTCACACCCTACTCAGGTGGGGATGCCCATTGTGTTCTACTCAGGTTTGGGTGGGGCAACTTAGAAGGAAATGATATAATCAAAGTTCATTAGAATAGGTCCAACTGCTAATTTTAATATTCATTCTCTCATTAATTGTTAACCAATCAAGGTTGATTACCATCCTCGAGAATGCCCCTCTTCCAAGGGCATATATAAACCATGAGTCCATATGAGCAAGCCATGATGGTCTTTGGCTTTCAAGAATGCCACTGATCTCTTTTTATTAAATGCTGGCATTATTAATAAAATGACTAATTACCCAGAAATTATATCTCTCTAACTTTTTAAATGTCACAGTACATATACTAAAACAGGAAGAAATCAAGGAAGCTGATAATGAGAGTGAAGAGCAGTTTTGGATGGAGATGGTAAAAGACAAGTGTAAGAAGGGACAGAAGGAAGGAAGGAAGTATTTATTAAAAGCCAACTATTTTCTATGCACTGTGCCAAATATTTGACCCTTACAATAACCCTGGGAGGAAGGTGCCAATATTATCCCTATTTTACAGTTGAGGAAATTGAAGTTTACTTATCCAAGGTCACACAACTAGTAAGTGTCTGAGGTCATATTTGACTCAGGTTTTCCTGAATCTTGCACTTTATAACTAACACATGTGGATTAAGCTGATTCAGAGGAATGTTGTCAACTTGACATCAATCATTCTATGGAATACTGCAACTGATATGATATGAGTCATTTATTCAACAAATCCAGCTTCTCTGCTTAGCATGTATATCTGGATCTCTGGTGCCTTGAATCTCTTTATAAGGCTCTTCTTCTACATTCAGTAGTACTTTTGAATAAATACCCAACAAGAACCCCAAAGAATTAGGCTGAAGATGCATGGTAATTGGGCAAGCAAATATGAAAATAAACATGAACAAAACCAGATAAATTAGAATTACTTACTTCACAATAAGGACTCAGGACTATGGTTTGGTAAAAAGAGTGTTGGCTTAGCAGTTTAGAGGATGTGGGTTCAAATCTTACTTTTGATGCTTACTCCTACTCATATGACTTTCAGCAAGTCATTTCATGTTCTTGAGTATCAATGTCTTCATCTGTAAAGGAAGGAAAGGACAAAATAGCTTCTGTGGTCCCTTCCAACTCTATATCTATGATGCTATGACTTATCAGAAGATTCCATTAAATAATGATACACCATAGTGCATTTAAAATAGAATTAGATTTATAAAGTTTCAATTTGCATAGAAATTTCAAGAACCCATTGGGTGCATTGCATAAAGTGAAATGTTTACTCTTGTGGGGTTTTTCTTTGGGGTGAGGGGTAGAGAGGGATTCTAGACTTGTGATCTCACCAATTTAGGGAATTTCCAGTGTAGAAACTGCCCCATCTATTCAGACAGGCAACTTTTCTATAACTTAAAATTTTAGAGAATTGCCTAGGGCACTGAAAAGTTTGCTAATGATAATAATGATGATAGTATTTATTTAGCAGTTTAAGGTGTGAAAAGTACTTTACAAATTTCTCATTTTTATCCTCACAACAACCATATTATCCCTCTCAACAAGGAAGCTGAGGGTGAGAGAGGTTAAGTGACTTGCCCAGGGTCACACAGCTCCTGTTAGAGGAAGGATTTGAACTCAGGTATTCCTGACCCAGATCTAACACTCTATCCATTGCCCTGCCTAGCTGTATATAAATGGTACATGTATGAGGCTAGAATTGAACCCAGCTTTTCTTGACTCCAAGCCTATCCCTCTATCCATTATGCCATGGTGTCTCTCAAAACAGGGTATACCTGGTACAAATATATTTGCATGTGTTATCTAGCTCAACCACTTCCTTAAATACAATCTAAGTCAGACTTCTTTTTAACAGAAGGCTAGCTATGTCAGGACACACAAACACCCCCATATTATCTTAAAATAAAAAGTACTGAGATTATTAAAGAAACTTTGAAGAAACACATATGGGGGTGGCACAAACAGATTGTCATCTCCTGGTATATTTTAAATACTTTCCCTTTTCTATTAAACTAAAATTAAGACAAAAAGCTTTTAGACTCTTTCAGGAGGGTTCCCCTCTCAAAAAATATGGAGGATTTTATCCGTGACAGGGAAATATTTCTCTTGGCCATGAGAGCCTTGAAGCATACTGACTGCTTTGATTTACTGGCATAAATGGTATCATATGTATGGTCTTTTCGGTTAGTTCAAGCCTTGATTGCTTCCAAACCCTGTTTGAATTTTTTTTTTTTTGCTAATGGTTTTTGCAAGTAGCAATGGCTGAAAAAAATTATGCCTCTGCAGTCAATCTATTGTAAACTAATTTAGATTTATCATTGGACAACAAATAGTGTGTTTCTAGGCCCAAACCTTAGCTTGGAAGAACCTGCTGGAACCAGCCCTTATTTCTGCTAATGTTAGTGATGTTGACTAGCAGCATGCAACGTTTACTATTTTATTCTTTAAAAGAGGAAGAAGCTGGTTAGAGGAGCTCAGAGTGCCAAGCTACTGTCTACCATCTTGGCCAATGTCATATGCCACCAGTGGCCAGTCATTTACTTGGGAGTTTCTTCTTTCCTTTTGATTTCATTCACTATGGATTTTCTTTTCCCAACCAAAGGCTTAAAGTAACTTGTTTCCACTCATCTGTGGCCCTGGCCTGCAATAATACATGATTGGTCTGGGGGGAGGGGGTGGCATTGGCACTGCTAACTAGTTTCAGAATTTCTGCACATACCAACTTTGTAAAGAAGCTCTTTGTTCCTACTTTATGAAAGGGGCACAAAGGTTCATACTCTCTGGCATGCTAGGATGCTGTATTTTATTCCAGCAGCTGATTACAGCTTGCTAAGAGCTTGATAAAAAGCACTTTTCCATCTGAATACCATATTATTCTCTTTATATTTTATTTCACAATGACTTGATTTTCCCCAATCCAATCTGGGCAGCAATTCCCACAGTTTTCTTCTTTTTCCTATAACTTCAATTACCTGTATTTATGTTGCTAAGGGACCTCTTTCCACCAATCCTGATCATAATTCTCAATAACTTAGGAGATGAATTGTGAGTTTCTGTTCCTGAAAAAATCATCCTTTAGCCAGCCTGGTGATGAGTATCCTTGAGCTTAGATGGGATGATCCTGGTGTAGATGGCATGATCCTAACCCCAACAAGTCTGTCAACAGTCAAGAAATTATAAATGCATGAGCAAGATTGTTTTCAAGGCGTGAGCATCTTTGAATGAGTCAAGAAAGAAAGTGGTGTGATTGGCTGGGTGGATCGGTATTGTCCAGAAGTGAACTCAGCCCGAAGAGGGCCAGCCTAGTAGTGAAAATTTTAGTTCTGGAACTGGGGATTTCAGTTTGAACCAAGTTCCTGAGGGATAATCCAATCCTGGAGAGAAGAGAGAGTTTCTTCCTTTTTCTCCCTGCTCCCTACCCACCCCACACATCACCATTAACCACATAGTCAATAATGAGAGATAAAACATATCCAACCTGGAGCAGAGAGAGACACACACCAAAGATGAATGTGGACAGACACAGACATAGATTGGCTGTGATAATCACCCAAGGCAGGAAGCAGATCAAAACACATGATCCTTTGAATCAGAATAGAATGCTGGCTATGGAATCAAGAGGGGACTTTCCAGTAACTAGTAGTTGTGAGCTTACTGTTGGCTACATATGTTTTGTAACTTTAAAGTACATTAAGCTTAAGCTCTCTCTTCTTCTGAACTGTGTACTTGTGGGAGAATGTGCCTCAGGCTTTGGGGGGAATGTGTTTCATATAAATTGTTCTGACTATACCACTTTGGCAAATACTTTTTTGACCCCCTAAAAGCTAATGGAAGCTAATGGCTTTTAATCAATGGGAAGACCATCAGTGGAGACTTAAGAACAACAGTACTGGAAAAACCCCACCCTCCTCAATGTTACCTTTAGTCTTCTGAGGAGAAAAGTAGTCTGCTGTCCTTTGAGGACCATGGAATGTGCTTGTGCTGGGGAAATAGCCTAGGAGTAGGTGCTACAATAGTTAGTTGCCAAGCCCATGTCCCCCTCAACTAGAACTGTGGCATCAAACTCAAATAAAACAGATCCCTTCAGGCACCTGTTGACTTATAAAATACATTATTAGCATTATCTATGTTGTACTGTATGTTTATTTTGTTAAACATTTCCTAATTATATTTTAATCTGTCTAAAGTTTTGCAGACTTCTGGGTTAGATACTTCTAATCTAGACCGTTAATCTTAGATACCTCTTATCTAGACCATTAATCTCTCCACTCCTCAGTACTTTCTCAGGCCATTATCCCAGTTCTGACTTTACATTCCTCCCTCTTTAATCTCAACTCAATAGTTGGCCCTTTCAACTCAAACCTTACTCTTTGCTCTCAAATCTCTTGCCCCCATGTCTTATAACCACTCATCTCTTGCCAAACTTCAGCCAGACATTACTCTCACCATGTATTTCTTCTACTTTTCCTTACGGGCTACTGAAGAGAGCTGAAGGAATTCTCACAAAAGTGTTGAATGGGTACAGTATGACTCCATGTTATGCAACTTCCACTGTGCCCTCACCATAGCAAGGCAGTCCTTTTATTTTTGCCTAATTGATTTTGTATATCACTCCTCACAGAAACTATACCAAACCTTTTCTTCTCTCCTCAAGCCTTCTCTCCTGAGGCCTTTCTCTCTTAAATTGAGGCTATTTGATATAAGCTCCCCTGTTTTCATCTCAAAACTCCTTGACAGCATCTTCAACCGTGTCCTCTTTTCCTTCAGTCTCTGAAAAAGGTGTCCCTCCTTTTTGCTAAATGAATTTAATTCCACCCCCTTCTTGTCTTCTGTGGCAGATTGTAACCTCAATGATTTTCCCTCTAATATCTTCAGTACCCCAATATCTACTGGTTTCTTCCATACTGCCTTCAAACACACCCAAGTCTCCCTTTATTTAAAAACTTCCACCAGATCTTACCTTCCCCTCAAGTTGTCACCCTATATCTCTCCTCCCTTTCTCAGGTAAACTCCTTAAAAAGCTGTTCACACTGTCTGCCTCAATTTCATCTCTTCTCACTCCCTCCACTGCCCATTGTAATCTGGCTCCCAACCTCACCATTTAACTGACACTGCTCTCTCCAGAGTTAAATAGGATCTCTTAGTTGACAAATTCATGGTCTTTGATGAATCTTCATCGTTTTGGATGTTGATCAATCTCTCCTCTATGTTCTTTTCTCTCTGAGCTTTTGTAACATTACTTTCTCTTGACTATTCTCCTACCTCTCTGACCACTCCTTCTCCATCTAGTTTCAGAATTAAAAGGTCATGAATGAAAAACATTTCAATTATGATGATTTAGGCATAAAATAGGGTATAGGGATTGCACCTGTGATTTCAGGAACTCCCTTGTAGGAAACTCCCTTCTCTGCAGTTTATACTCTCAAAGTGTTGACTAGAGCACTGAGAGCTTAAATAACTTGCCCTGGATCTCACTGCCTCCCAGGCAAAAAAAAAAAAAGGTAGAATATCTAAAATTCTTTCTACTTACTTTTTTTCTTATGTGAATAAGGGAATACTTTCAGCTGCCAGCGTGATCCTCTGAAAGCACAGGTCTGCCTTTTTCACCACCCATCACATACACACATATGCTGAGTGATACAATATTACATTCGGGGTCAAGTATAAACTCTTCTGTTGGGAATATGAGCTCTCTATTACTTGGTTCTATCTTATGTTTCAATCTTCTTACATAATAGCCTTCCTATACATTATGGTCCAACCACACATAGCACTCCATCTCATATCTCAGTGCCTGTAGTGTCTCTACCTAGTCCCTGAAATACCCTCCCTCCTTATCTCCATCTTTTAGAATTCCTGGTTTCCTTTAAGATTTAACTCATACCAAATTTGTCAGGAGGATTTTCCCAGTCCCCCAGCTGCTGGTTCCTTCCTTTCTAAGATTGCCTTCCAGCAGCTGTGACTTGCCCATGGTCACCTAGGTCTTCCTCATTCTGAGTTCAACATTCTATCCACTGGGCCACTGCTTGACTAATCTTTCTTTTCAGAAAGAAAGCGACTTGTCCAGGCTGCTGGTCCTACTCTCTTTGGAAACTTCCCTTCCATTTCCCCTATATTTTACTTGGAGCAACTTGAAGAAAAATCTACAAAAGCAGAATGAATGACTTACAGGTTTTGATTCAAATAGAAGCAAGGAAACAATACCTCCAAACAATGCCTTTTACTTTTTCCTGGGACCTGACCTCAAAGAAAAAGGATTAAACTTTTCTCTAATTGTCTGGCTCATTACATCCCCACCTGGAGCTATTCTAAGAAAATTTCCTTAAATAAAACTTAGTTTGAACTAATAGCTGGGGTTTCCCCTAAAAGGTATTACTAGGGTTCCTTCTAGAAAGTTACCCAATGTAAAAAAAGCAGGTATCAGGTAGGATGTGTGTGTGTGTATATGCATACATACATTCAGACAGAGAGAGATGTACATATACACACACATACATACACGCACAGATATTTATGAGAAAAGTTACTTTGTCACAAAGTAGTCTGTCATGAAGGAAAGAACACTTATGGGATCATAGATCTAAAAGGTACTCCTTAGAGGCCATCTATTCCCCATTATACAGATGAGGAAACTGAGGTTCCAGGGATTAAATGATTTACCTAAGGTCTTATGGGTAGTGCCAGAGGCATGATCTGAACCCAGGTCCTCTGATAGGAAGACCCAGCGCTCCTTTTGCTATGCTATCATGCTTGCTTGCTTCAGGAAAGAGGTTTGTGTTTGAGAATTAGTTTGTCTTTCACTAGTGGCATGATCATGGGAAAGTCACTGGTCTATGCCATAGGACAATAGTTATAGAGTTGTAAGAGACCTCCGAGGTCATCTATTCCAACCCCCTCATTTTCTGGAGGAAGAAACTGAGGCAGTTTAAGTGACTTGCTCAAGTACATGCAGCTATTAAGTGCTAGAGACAAGTTTCAAATCCCAGTCATTTGGCTCTAGACTCAGCATTCTTTACCCTCCAAAGCTGCCTAACTTCTTGCCAATCTGGAGTAAATATTTCTCTATCCCTTACCTTACTCTTGGCTTCTGGATTTTTCCTTCTCCTGAGCCAAGTGTGTAAGGACCACCTTAAGTGCAACAACCAGACTCCCCCAGCACAAAGTTTGCAAATGAAAATTCCACCAATGACTATTATGTCCCTTTTTTGTTTTGTTTTTAGTTGCATGCCCAATTTATTGATCTGCTATTTCTCCTTTTTATTGATATATGTGTTTAGAGACATACATTTTCCTTTAAGTACTGCTTTCACTGCATCCCACACATTTTAGTATGTTAGTTCATTGTTTTCATTCTCTTTAATGCAATTACCAATTATTTCTATGATTTGCTCTTTGACCCACTCATTCTTTAGGAATAGATTATTTAGTTTCCAATTACTTTTTAATCTGTGCTTCCGTGGCCCTTTGTTGTATTATGGTCTGAAAAGGGTAAATTTAATATTTCTGCTTTTCTGCATTTGTGTGGAGATCTTTATACCCTAGTACACGAAGGTACCATATACAACTGAAAATAAAGTCTATTCCTTTTCATTCCCATTCAGTTTTCCCGGAAGTCTATCATAGCTAGCTTTCCTAAGATTAGATTCTTCTCTTTAAATTCTTTCTTATTTATTTTATGATTAGATATCTACCTTTGAAAGGAGAAGGTTGAGGGCCCCCATTGGTATAGTTTTACTCTCCATTCCCTCCCATAATTCATTCAACTTTTCCTTTAAGAATTTGAATGCTATGCCATTTGGTGCACATATGTTTAGTATTGATATTACTTTGTTGCCTTTTTGCAAGATGCAGTTTCCCTGCTTATCCCTTTTAAATGGTTTTGGTTTTGTTTTTGCTTTCTTTGAGATCATGATTGCAATCCTTGCCTTTTTTTTGGTCAGTTGAATCATAATAGATTCTGCTCCATTCTCTTATTTTAACTCTGTATGTGTCTCTCTTTTTGAAGTGTGTTTCTTATAAACAATATATTTTTTGAATTCTAATTTTCTAATTAATTAATTATAATTTCTAATCCATTCTTCTATCTGCTTCTGTTTTATGGGTGAGTTCATCCCATTCATATTCACAGTTATGACGACTAACTGTGCATTTGCTGT